TATATATATATATATATATATATATATATATATATATTACTGAATAAATCTAAAATAATTATACAACAATAATAATAATAATTTTTATGTAAAGTAACTATATCAAAGATAGAAAAGAACAGTCAGATAAAAAAAAATAAGTTAAATATGCAAATTCATTAATTTATACATATTGAATATTTTTTTGTTTTTCACATTTATGTATTTATATACTTGTGCAATTTTAATTTTTTTATTATATCATATGTATATTTCTAAATATTTAATATATCTCTTAGTACACACGATTGAGTCATTTCACTGAGTCTTGCACTTCTTTTTTTTAAACTAGAGTAATCAATCATAACATATATCGAGTAATCAATTATAATATTTACATGCAATTTTTTTTTATATACAACTTTGTAAATACTTTCTAAAGATGTTAAAGTAAAAATGTATATATAAGAATCATACTTAATAGTTCACATATGTACATTTATTAAAATGATGAAAATTAACTGGAACATGAATGATTCATCATACGTAGTAAAGAAAAATCATCATGTGTTTTACAGAAATATATATAGGTATTATAAATTGTAATGTACTTTCTATTATAGATTTATCAAAAAGAATTTATTGTGAATATATTTATAGAACATTAAGAATTGAGCACAAATTTATATTTATTAAATGTACAAACTAAGATAGATATTAAAAGAATATTTACGCTATAATAAAATTTTATAAATTACACGCATTACTTTTTACAGAAATCAAAATTCTAGTTTAGTTCCTTATTTATATATCAAAAATTGAAATTCGTTAAAAGAGTAAAATAGAAAATGATAAAAAATTTGTAAATTACAATTTGAAATCTTATGTGTAAATATCAAAACTATGATCACACACTATATTTATATACCGGAGACGGAAACTGTTGGAAACACGGTCACGATTCATAGATATTTAAATACAGTGCGTATAATCGGACTGTATACAATCGGTGCAGATTCGCGTGTCGAGAGATTGCCTACTCGAGGCATTTAAGTGTGCTGTGAGCATATATATATATATATATATGTACACACACACACACGATCCATTTGCGTAGGCGGACTGTGAGAACTACTGAGAACGTACGTAGGAGATCGGGAATTGGGAAGGGGCGATGCGAGAAGAGAGCAGGAGAGAGCCGGGAAGTAGACGCGTGCAAGCGGCGTCGTGCCGTTACACTCGTTGGTGGTCTACGGCGAAGCCCGCTCGCGCGTCGTCTGGCGTCGTCCAGCATCCGATCTATGGAAGGTTAATGGGAGATGTACGATCGATAACGATCGTTCGACGGCGGTGATCTTCGTCGATGGACGCGCTGCCTAACCTCAAAGACAGCCCTGATACGTTGGTCGGTTTCGTGAATAGCGAGAGGAATCTCGCCGAGTGTTCGGACAGACAGAAATTTTCTTACCTCACGGGAATAAAATGAGGGGGATATGGGGCCTGCTGTCGCTCGTGGGAAGCTGCGTCGTTCTGGCCGATCCCGAGGCTGATCCTTCGGAGGAACTGTTCAGTCGGCTGCAGCTGCCAAAAAATCGCAATGAGGACAAGTGTTATGATGAGAACGGCAGACCGCAGGTTCGTTTTGATTGTTTACGTTATTTAATGCACATTGAATTTTAAAAAATGAAGAATTTATATAGTCTTCGTTATTGTAGAAATAATTCTCAAAAAAGAAGAATGTTATAGACAAGTTATTTCATTTAATAAAATTGTAACGCAAATAAACAATGTATTTGTTAGAAGAATTTTGCAATGATACTTTTATTCTTTTTTTCATTAAAAAATGCACCTAGAAGATGCGCAAAATTTTTTTCTATTTAATATATCTCAGTATATTTTGTTTATATTTTTATTAATTTTTTAATGTAACGTGAATAATGGAAAATCTTGTTTTATATTTTAATATTTTTTTAACGTCATTCTTAATTATTATGTAACTTGTCAACTTTATGTAATGTTACGTTAGTTTTTTAATATACTTATAATTATTTTAGAATTAACAATTAAGAATTGTTTTAGTATTATTAACATTTTTTTATGTGACACATTTTATTTCTTTAAATAAAATCCTCATATATAAATATCATTTTTGAATACCTAAATGTGACTATCCAATTTTTTGCATCTTTAATTAAATCAGTACAATTTGGTAGCTCCGTATTTCGGGAGGATGTTAAGGTTATCATGGGGTTATTCCCCAGTTGCTTGAACTCGCAGATAAATTGTGTGGGCCACGATATAAATGGATAAGATATCATTCGCGAAGTCCGCGAGATACAGCTTCTATATTAGAAATAGATTTCTTTCCTATTTTTTTTTTTTTAGATCGCGATTATGAGTTGAGAATATTACACTTCATTACATTTCTTATATTAATATTTATATAGATTTATATAATATATAACTGTATACATTTAAAAATAATATATTTAATATATATATAAAATAAAACAGTACAAGATTACTATCTAATTTTAATTTTAATTTAATTTTAAATAGTAATAAATTTCTCTCAAAGTTATATAAAAAAATATAAAATAATACAGCATATCGTAAAGAATTTATTATTTATTAGAATTTAACAGAATATATAACAGAAAGTAATTAGGAACAATATTTTAAAAGCAAATTAATAAATATTACGTTAAAACATTTCTTTATTTTATTTAATTTTAATGTAACATTTATTTAATTTATTTTTAAATTATCTAATTACAATAAAAATGTATGCAAAATTTAACGCCCTATCTGTACGTTGGCGTGTTTTAGAGATGTATACCGCCATTTGAAAATGCAGCTTTCAACGTACTAATAGAGGCGACAAACACATGCGGCGAGGATCGTCCAATCGAATTCTGTAAGCAGACAGGCGTGCAAAAGAAGTCATGCGAAATTTGCCGACGCGGCGACCACTCGGCCTCCTTCCTTACTGATCACGACAATAATGACAATGCTACTTGGTGGCAATCGGACACTATGTACGAAGAGTATCCCAACCAGGTCAATCTCACCCTCCCTTTAGGTGTGTTTTTGTCGTAATATATTCGGGACACCCTGTAGAAGATCTCTATGCCTCTTCATTGAGAAACATTCAGTTTCTGGTTTATACTTTCTCTCTTTTTTTTCTACGTCTTTCTTTCACTCTCTCATTCATATTCTTTCTTTCTTTCATCCTACTTCCTTATCTATGAGGATGTATGCGCGATGAGATAAATCAGTGTATAGAGGATGATGAAGAAATCACAGAAGAGCTCTCATGAGTTTTAAAAGCGAATTTATTATTATGAATTTATTCTCGTTTCTAATTGATTTAAAATCTAGTTTGGAAGAAATTGTTATAATAAAATTCTTAGTTAAAATATTTTAAGGAGTAAGGAATTTTTATTATAACGATTTAAATATTTTAAACAGTTATACTAGATCGCCTTATATACATATGTGCGCAAAGGGTGCACAATAAATTAAATTCAATTCAATTAACAGCTTAGCCATTGAAGTATTCCTGAATAAAAATGACAGATTTACATTTAAAAATGACAGATTTACATTTTAATTAACTTTTAATGCGCCAGAATCGATTTTTTAAGTCTTACAACGTTATTTTTAATAGGATTTGTTATAATTTATTTTGTTATATTTTTTGCTTTAAAATATGATACTATTTCAGTGTCACTACAGTAGTTTTTTTTCCTCTAAAGATTAATTTTTTATTTGCTATTTATATTATTTTATTTTATATATATATATATATATATATATATATATATATATATATAATT